TTTATAAGCCTTGTTTTTTGTGGAAATAAGTTTTTTTTAGTTTTTTTCATTTTTTTTTTTTTTTTTTTTTTTTTTTTTGTTCAGATTTCACCAAAGACACCACCTCATTGGGTTGAAGACCAGAAAAGTCTCCTTCAGATGTTATGTCAGCAAGTAGAAGCCCTCAAGGTAATTATCTCAACTTTTTCAACTTCTTCCACTCCAGAATGCAAAAATAAATTCACTAGATTTTTGCAGAAATGCAAATGGATTTAGTTAGTTTAAAACATCTGCTCTACACCAATGATTTGCATCACTGCGTTTACCTTTTTCCCCTAGAATGAGGTTCATGATCTCAAACACAACGCGTCAGTGAACTCCGGCTCGCCTCACCATAAGATGTATGGAGACGCCTACAGAAACGAGAGTTTGCAGGAGCCGTTCACCCCGGTCCAGTCCTACCACGGAGCCCCACTAACTGGTCAGTGGTCCACGCTGCTTTCAGAAGCTATTCAGTCCTGGAACCGCTTCACATTCTGTCACATCCTAACCACATAAACTTCACAGTTATAAACTCTCATTAAAATACATTTGTTTGTGGTTGTAATGCAACAAAATATGAAAAGGTTCAAGGATAAAATACTTGGGAGCCTATCAATATTTTGCCAAGGTATTTTAAATAATTGTTTTTAAAAAAGCATATTTCCATCAGTTTATTAAACTGTTTCTCTCTCTTAGTTTCCACCACAGGCCTTTCTGTTAATTACAACCAGTCTCCTGCCTACAACTCCCAGTATTTACTGCGGACAGCGGCAAACGTCACCCCCACCAAGGTGATTATCATCATTTAACATCCATTTATATATAGAAATAAACTTCTCCCACCTGTTGAGTGATCATTATTATTTAATCTTTTCACACAGGGTCCAATGTATGGGGTGAACCGTATGCCCCCCCAGCAGCACATGTATGCCTACCAGCCGCCCACACACACGCCTCCGCTGCAGACCGCCCCGTCCTGCATCTACCCTCCGCAGGAACAAGTCTTCGGTTCCCCCCTTCGGTTTGAATCTCAAGCCACAGGCCTTCTCTCTCCATACAGTGAAGAATTTCATGGGCAGAATGTCGCCCCGCAGACTATTAACCCCACTCTGCCTGAGCCTGGCTACTTCACCAAGCCGTCTGTCGCCCCCGTTCAGCCGCCGAAGGGCGTTGAGGGGAAGCCTGTGGACTTTGGGAAGCTTTCCTTCAGCCAGCAAGCTGCAGCTGACGTACCCAGAGTGCCAAATTTCGGCGCAGGGGCAGTTGGCCTGGCTACAACCTCACCTGCTTTTAAATTCAATGGTTTTCCCAAATCCTCTGAGAGAGATTTAAGTTTCTGTTCGCCCCAAACCAAGCAAAGTGAAAGTTTGCTCGACCTCCTCACTTCAGACCTCCCCCCAAAGCCCGACTCGTTTCCAGAGAAGCCGTCGGCCCACGAGCAGCCCTCAGGCCACCAGAACATCTTCACCTTCGGAAATAAAAACATAAGCAGCTTCTCGTTTGCAGATTCCACTCCAAACGCGCCAGCTAGAAGTTTCTTTGGGAAGCCGGAGCAACCGTTTAAGTTTGGTGAAGCAACGGCGTTTGGCATCGGCAAGACGCCAGAGCTGGAGAAAGCCGCAGAGAGCGACGAGAGCACACACGTTGAGGAGGACGAAGACGGTCCTCACTTTGAACCGATCGTCCCTCTCCCTGATAAGGTGGATGTGAAAACAGGTGAAGAAGAGGAGGAGGAAATGTTCTGCAACAGGGCAAAGCTGTACCGATTCGACACGGAGACAAAAGAATGGAAAGAACGAGGAATCGGAAATATTAAAATCCTGAAACACAACACTAAAGGGAAGGTCCGCCTCCTGATGAGAAGAGAGCAGGTCCTTAAGATCTGTGCAAATCACTACATCACTGCAGACATGCTGCTGAAACCCAACGCTGGCTCGGACAAATCCTGGGTGTGGAACGCCATCGACTATGCGGATGAAGAGCCTAAACCTGAACAGCTGGCCATTCGCTTCAAAACTGTGGATGAGGCGGCTCTTTTCAAAACCAAGTTTGAGGAAGCCCAGCAGGTGACGAGCAAATCACCAGAAAAACAGCAAGAGAAGAAAGAGGAAACCCCCAAAGACTTGGGTTTACTGGCTTCTCGGTTCGCTCTTAAAGAAGGCGAGTGGGACTGCGCCGTGTGTGATGTACGAAATAAAGCAACGGCTGCGCAGTGTGCAGCATGCAACACTCCCAATCCACAGTCTTCATCTAAACCAGAACTTCAGGCTACTACTGGAGCCAAAACCAGCCCATTTAGCTTCAAGTTTGGTACAGATTCATCAAAGCCCAGTGGTTCAACCTCAACATTTACAGGATTTGGTGCTTTTGGAACTTCAGTTCCCTCCTCTTTTACATTCGGGATGAGCTCCTCAAAACCTACCGACAAACCGGCTGGTCCATTTGGTTTCAGCTTTGGTTCACAAATTCCCACAAAGCCAGAGCAGTGGGACTGTGGCAAGTGTTCTGCAAAGAATGAAGCATCAACAGACAGTTGTGCTTCTTGTAAAACTCCTAAAACTGCAGTCAAAAAAGACGAGGCAGCACAAACTGCTCCAGCACCAGAAGCTCCTGCTGCACAGTCCTCTGTATCTGCAGTCGATGCTGGATTTGCTGCACGCTTCAGCAAAAAGCCAGGACAGTGGGACTGTGATGTTTGTGAAGTGAGAAATGAAGCCTCTGCAAGCAAATGTGTTTCCTGTCAAACTCCAAACCCAGCTTCAAAACCAGCCACTGTGGCTCCAGCAGCTCAATCATCCACTGTGGCTCCAGCAGCTCAATCATCCACTGTGGCTCCAGCAGCTCAATCATCCGCTGTGGCTCCAGCAGTACCAGCTGCACCTGCGGTATCAGGGTTTCTGGCAGATTTTGCCAAGAAAGACGGACAGTGGGACTGCAACGCCTGTTTGGTCAGAAATGAAGGGTCAGCAGCTCAGTGTGTTTCTTGCCAGTCTCCAAATCCAAATCCTTCTTTAGAGGCCATGTTTGGCAAGAAGGAAGGAGAATGGGACTGTGAGGCTTGTCTTGTGAGAAATAAGGCCTCTTCCAATGAATGTGTGGCCTGTAAAACCTCAAACCCTAATGCTAAAAGCACAGTCACATCTGCTGCTTCTGCCTCGTCTTTCAGTTTCAACTTTGGAACCACGAGTTCATCCAACCAGGCTGCTGGACCTGCATTTACTTTTGGAAGCAGTGGTGCATTTCAGTTTGGACAAAATAAAGACAAAGCTTCAGCATCTGCATTCAAGTTTGAAACTCCTCAGGCTGCGCCAGCCACCACAACCTCCTCTGGATTCTCTTTTTCAATGCCCATCCCAGCTGGTGGCTTCAAGTTTGGCGTTCAGGATTCTGCAACAGATTCGGCCTCATCTAATAATCAAACTTCAACAGGGTCCGCTTCCAGTATCCTCAAAAACATGGCTGACAAACACAAGGAGAAAGAAAATGTGTCTACGCCTGCCGTAGACCAAACGGAAAAAGATCAAAATCCTTTAATTGCTGGAAAAGCCGATGCGTTTAGTTTTGCAGACTTGGCCAAGTCCTCCGAAGGAACCTTCCAGTTTGGCCAGAAAGATCCCAACTTCAAAGGTTTCTCCGGAGCAGGAGCGCAGGTATTCGCATCGCCACAGACGACCCCTACCAAGGCAGAGGCCTCAAACGAACTGGAAGACGACGGCATGTATAAAACGGAAGAACACGACGACATCCAGTTTGAACCAGTGGTCCAGATGCCTGACAAAGTGGACCTAGTGACTGGTGAGGAAGATGAGCAGGTCCTCTACTCCCAGCGCGTCAAACTCTTCCGATTCGACTCTGGCACCAGTCAGTGGAAGGAACGGGGTGTAGGAACCCTGAAGTTCCTTAAAAATAACACAAATGGCCGGCTGAGAGTGCTGATGAGAAGGGATCAAGTTCTGAAGGTTTGCGCCAACCACTGGATCACCACCACCATGAACCTTAAGCCGCTGGCTGGTTCAGACAAAGCCTGGATATGGATGGCCAACGACTTCTCTGATGGAGATGCTAAACTCGAACAGCTGGCCGCCAAATTTAAAACGACGGAGCTAGCAGACGAGTTCAAAGAGAAGTTTGAGGAATGTCAGAGACTTCTTTTGGATATCCCTTTGCAAACGCCCCACAAGCTGATGGACACTGGCCGAACGGCTCACCTCATCAAGAAAGCAGAGGAGATGAAGTCCGGTTTAAAAGACTTGAAATCGTTTTTGACTGATGAGAAGACGAAAATCCAAGACGACGAAGTGCAGGGAGACATTACTGCCGCGAGCGAACTTTCCAGTTTAGGGGTCAGGCCTCATGGGGAAACAACAGGCCCCACCTTGGAGTGGGATAACTACGACCTACGGGAAGAAGCTTTGGATGACACTGCTGACTCATCGGTCTACACCACCCCTGTTTCGAGCAGCCCCCTGAGGAAGAACCTCTTCCGCTTCGGAGAATCCACAAGTGGGTTCAGCTTCAGTTTCCAACCCGGCATCAGCCCATCCAAGTCTCCTGCGAAGCTCAACCTGAGCAGGGCCTCAGAGGGTACAGACGAGGAGCAGGATACAACTCAAGACGAAGAGCGAGACGGACAGTACTTTGAACCCGTTGTACCTTTGCCTGACTTGGTTGAGACTTCTACTGGAGAGGAAAATGAGCTGGTGGTCTTCAGCCACAGAGCCAAACTGTACCGCTATGACAAAGAGGTGAAGCAGTGGAAGGAGAGGGGCATTGGAGACCTCAAGATCCTGCAGAGTTTTGAGACCAAACGTGTGAGGTTAATAATGAGGAGAGATCAGGTGCTCAAGCTCTGTGCCAATCACTGGATCTCATCCGCCATGAGGCTGGAGCTCATGAAGGGGGCAGAAAAGGCCTGGGTCTGGAGTGCCTTGGACTTTGCCGAAGAGGGAGAGGGCAAAGTTGAGCAGCTGGCTGTGAGGTTTAAGATGCAAGAGACTGCAAATACATTCAAACAGGTCTTTGAAGAGGCCAAGGCAGCGCAGGAAAAATCCGAACTCATGACTCCTGTGACGCCAAGACTCTCAGCACCATCAGAAAGTGGACCATCAGCAACATCTGAAAGCACAACTACATCTCTTTGTGGGCAAGCAGCTATTGCTGTTCTGGAAGAGACGACACGGGAACGAACAGCCACTTCTCCGGCCGCCAGGTCGACTGCAGCTGGGTCTCAGAGTCCTGTCAATCCCCTGAAGACTGTGGTGTCTCCACCGAAGTTTGTGTTCGGCTCTGATTCTGTTCAGAAGATTTTTGGCTCTCCTAAGTCAGAGTCCCAAGCATCTGCATCTGTGTCGGGGTTGACGGCCAAAGATGGTGAAAGCTCAGTCAAGCCTACGATTCCTGCGCCAGCATTCAAAATGCATACAGGTAAAAAAAAAAAAATGTTATGTTTTATTTTAATGTCCCTTTTGCTTCTCATTGGTTGGTCCAAGTTGACACTTGATCCATCACCAAAGTCTGTTCATGGTTCTCAGAAGGTTCGGCTCACTTTTTTCTGCCAGTGCTGCTTTTTAAAATGTAATAAGACAAGTGTTATGTTTTAGATGTATTAATCAGTGGCGGCTGGTTGTGGAGGAGAAAAAAAAATCTAAGTATTAAAAATGATCTGTAAGCATTTTTAAAATTTGTATTACCCTGTGTTCCTTAATGGTGTTTATTTAAATGTAGTCAACATTGAATTTTAGTGAATTTATAGTGAGTTTTCCCCAACAGGCTCCTTTTTGGGGGCACTACTGACTAGCTTTCCAGAGGTGAAGCTAAATAGCCAATCACATGTGGTTGCTAGGGAAAGGAATAAACATTTAGCCAATCAGAATAGCTGATTGGGTCTCAGAATTTTGCTCTTGCTAGTGAAGATGCCGGAATGTTTTGGGTTGCCATGGTGATAAAGTTGGAAAGAATTCCCCACTTTACCACAATGCAGAGGATTTTACAGACAGCTGGTAAGCTACAGCTTCTGTTCCTCTGCATGTTAGTTTTAGCTACCTTATTGGTCTGTGGTCTTTATGCTTTATTTTACTTTTTCTTTTCATAAGCTACTATAATTTGTTCTTTGCTGTTGATCAGTAATGAACATTGCAGCTCATTTGAGTCTTTTATTCTGGACAGGGAAGGGAATCTATTAACAGAAGTTTATCCACCAGCCGCCACTGGCATTAATGTGTGCGAACAAAACCAAAGTAGTCAGAATTAAAATATCCTGCATACACGCTCCTGTTTAGATTACATTCACTCATTCACATGAACACAGTATTGTTTTGGGGCTTTTGGTGACAAGAATTGGGTGCACAAATTTGAATTCTTTCTAACCAAGAAAGAAGCACTACTCCAAAATCAGAACCTTAAGACACAGCTGAAATTTGGAGAGAATGTTTTTGGTCATATGAAGCATAACCTGAGCTGAGGAATCCAGGTGAAACTTTAAAGCCTAAGAAAACTAAACCAACTGTCAAACATGGTGGCATATGCATCATTCTGGGGGTCTATGTTGTTACCAATAGTGCAAATATAATGGAAATATTGTAAGATGATTTCAACATTATCCAACTTAAGCTAGAACCTGAACACAGTTGCATGTCTCCAATCAGGTGTATTGGACATATTTAGCTTAAAATCTCTAACTTTTCTATTCCTCATAAGAAGAGTGGTTGAATAATTGGCCAATAATTATGCCAGATGTTTATTGTTTGATATACAAAGTGTGTAGTTTCCTACATATCATTATTTGAAGAAAATCAACAATAAATATAAGTTTGTGCACTTGATACTTGCTTTTGAAATAAATCCTAAAAAGCCAAACAATACGGTGAGTTTCACGCTGATGATGAATTTTAATTATTAAGAGGAGCGCTCAGGGATTTGGTTAAGACTCGGTTGTCACACACTTTCTCCCATTTGAACGATCTTGGCATTGTTTTCTGAACATGGCAGCCTCATATTTAGTGTCTCTTCACCAACAACAACCCGTCATCCTTTAGGGCTGGATTTTAGGCTTTTCAAAGATAACCCAATGGCCTTTTGGACCAGCACATCCACCGTCCAATTTGAAAGCCCAGGTACTCCAACTATTGCAGTGTGTGTTAAAACCCCTCAGCTGTCACCTGGCTGGCCCCGACTTCAACAAACAATAACCTGTTTGCACGGAGTGGACAGACCAAACAGACTGAAGCTAACATGTTGCATGTCGTGTGTTGAAGTTCAGTCCTTGGTGTCTAACTTAGCAACTGCCCAGCATCCCGATGTAAGCATCTTGTTCAAAACAAGCTGTAAAACTAATGACATTTTTTACCTTATAGGCACTGTATATACAAAAGTAAATAGCTGATTTTTTTCCTTTATTTTACCCCAAATTATTTGGATTCTTCACAGATCCTATGCATGCAGTTTTACTAAAAGTGAAGGAATTTAATATAAAAAAGCCTTTATTTTTTAAAGAAGCTGTGCATAGCTAGTTGTGTTTCCACTACAAAGCTTTAATAGTCTGCTAAAGTCAAATAACCACAATTTTGCAATAAGACGCATCAAACAGTGCACAAAAAGGAGAAAGACAAGAGAGTTTTAATTTACTTGCAAGGAGAATGGACAGAGACATGCATTAGTTATCTCCTACCGCTCTAAAGCACGTTCTGCCGTACCCTCTCTTTTCATTTCCTTTGGGTGGTCCCTAGTTGCATAGCTTATTCTGTTACCTTGAGTTAATTACATAGTGTTACTGTTTCTTCTGTTGTTTTATCTTGAGTCACAGTCTTGTTGCACCTCCAGGCTGAGTAGTGCAGAGTGTGAGTGCAGAGTCCAGTTCCTTTGTTTCCTCCTGTAGATGCAATGCAGGAACTGATGTACTCACAGAACAATGGTGATATACAGCACGATTAAATCAACTTCACACGTCAAAAACATAAGAGCACAGCAAACTTAAGATAAAATACTAAATATTTGTAACAACTCATCATTAAAAACATGGCACTGCTACTTCCTGTTGTCATCTTTGTGTTTTCTGCCAGTAGTAACATCTGGCTGTTGATTTCCATTGCAGTTTTGTTCACAAACAAGCTGTAAAAGTAATGACATTTTTTACCTTATAGGCACTGTAAACAGCTGTTTTTTCTTTATTTTAACCCAAATTATTTCGATTTGTCACAGATTCTATGCATGCAGTTTTGGTAAAACTGACTGAATTTTATATAAAAATGCCTTTATTTAAAAAAAAATCTGTTCATAACTAGCTTTGTTTTCATTACAAATGAGATCGAAACTTTAATATTCTGCTAATGTAAAAAAAATAAAATAAAATAAAAATTCGCAATAAGAAGCACAATTAAAGTCACATGTGAATAAGTCATTAAAAACACTCTGTGCCATTATTCTACCACCACTTTCTGTCGTCGTCTTCGTGTTTTCTGCCAGTAGTAAGATCCGGCTGTTGATCACGACTTGTTATGGGGGAAAAAAAAATTATTTCCAATACAGTTTTACGAAATACGCTAATTTTGATGCATTCAAAATACCGCCTAATTCTGGCACAACAACTTAGCAAAAAACTTTTTTGTTTTTATTTCAAAATTGGCATGTTTCCATTTAAGCAAATTTATTTTCATAATTCCAGTTTGTGTCATTATGTGGTCAACGAAAACGCAGTTATTGTCCTGTAAATGTGCATGAAGTGCAGTGTTGAAGCGCAGCAGGAGGCAGTAAAAGTAAAATGTTTCCTGAAAGGTGATCTGAAGACACAGGATGTTCCTTCAGGGAGACACGCACTGTGACATTTTTCACAGAGCCATTTTTAGTGCTGGATCTGCAGCAGCAGCATGAAATGTAATTTGCTGCCTGGCGAGGCATTTGCAGATGATGTGCACATCAGCAGAAGCTAATTAGGGGTAAAGCTCAAATGTTTGCGTAGTTTAATGTCATCGAACTACCACAGGTAGTTTCTCACTGCAGTAAATCACATGCATGCGTTTCATTGTTGTGCATGTTATTTTACGTGACTGTGTGGATCTAACGCTTGCACTGAAAGCTACAGTAAATAAATGTGACTAATGAGTCCTTGAAGTAGCTTAATGTTCACTGCTGCTGTATCTGTATCATAGGCTCTCCTCAGGCGGCGGCGGAGGCGTCCAGCTCGGGTTCGGATGACTACTCCGATGTGGAGATCGTTTTCGTCAGAGAGCCCACAGCCGAGCAGGCGGCTTTAGCCAGGAAGCTCCTGCTGCCTCTCACCTTCTTCTGCTATAAGAACGAGCCAGGCTACACCAGCGATGACGAACCTGACGGTGAGATCTGATTTATGAAAAGCGCAAAACTACTTTCTCCACCTTGATTGTGATGCATCCTGTACAACTCTACTAAACATCAAGCAAATCTATTGAGGGAAAAGCATCATTTTCCACAAATATCAACATCTAATAGAGGAAAATGTGCTCACACTCATTAAAAAGTTTTGCTTTTCTCCATTTAAAACTTAAAAATAAATGTAAAATTTTACAAAAAATATACAACAAATTTACCATTTAAATTTTTTTTTCTTTCTTTTTCCAAAAGATAATGTGACATTTGTGGCTCTAGACAAGTTTACCAAAAATATCTCTTTGGGTTGTAAAGGTTGTTGTGGTTAAAATTTAAATAGATGATTTAAAATTTTAAGCGTCACAATAAGTCCAAGCTTGCATCCAAATCAATATAAAGTTTTATGAGAATCTAATACAGCATAATCCTAAACCAAATCTGCCAGAAAGTCAGTGGAGTCGTTTTCACAATCTGATGGATTTAAAGAATGTTTGCAATGAGGAGCATTTATTGAATGTGATGATTTAAGATCAAAATTATATTATTAATTCATACACCAATACAAGCAGGTTACTGTTTTGTCTGAAACATACTGGACACTTTTCTAACACAGGTGAAAAAAAGCTTTAAAATTATAAAAAAAAAAATCATCCACGTTGAAATATGTCAGAAGTTGATCACAATCTGCAGTTAATTTCGCCTGGATTAGCAAGTCAATCTGAACAAATTAGGATTTTTAATTGGTGAATTTCCATCTGTTTGTATAAAGATATGCTGCTGCAGTTTGCCAATTTGTCATAATCCACTACACTTGCTTGTATAAATCTGTACCAAATATTTTTCTGCTGGTGTTGTATTTAAGGAGACTGTTTATGCTTGACCAGCAGATTTAGAAATTAAGTCCATCTTTATTTTTCCTCATGGTTTTGTATTATTCAGCTTATTTTTACAGCATTATTGGTGTTAATACCTGGTAAATTAACGGAAAGCAGAATTGTGAGCTAAAATTTAATATGCTACCTAAACTTAAAAATAGGAGATTTTTACTGAATTTCTTTTTTATGGTTAGATGAGGACTTTGAGTCGGCTGTAAGAGCTTTGAATGGAAAGCTCTACCCAGATCCCCCTGAAGCAGCAGCAGCAGCAGCAGCAGTCTGTGCTGAGGGTAAGCTGCTCAAACTTTATCGCACTACCGTCATAACAGCAACTAAAACACATTTGAGTAATTCTCCGTCACACTGAACCTCTGTGCTGCTCTCAGAGCCAGACTGCCAGTTTGTTTGGGAGAAGAAACCAACACCAGAGGAAGAGGAGCGGGCGAAGAGCCTCCAGCTTCCCCCGACGTTCTTCTGCGGCCTGAGCGCCACAGACAGCGACCCGGACAGCGAGGAGCCTGAAGACTTTGAGACGGAGCTACGCAAAGCCCAACAAGACCTGGTAATGGGTCACATAGAGTTTTATCCAAATTTTCACCTGCTTTCCTCCCTTCTGACAATCTTTAAGGGGACCTATTATGCAAAATTCACATTTTATGAGTTTTTATATTTGCTTTTGGGTCTCAATTGCTTCTAAAGATGACCCAAAAGCTTAAACACCCAAATGTTTAATGTTTTTTGGTGTCCTGAAAATGAGCTGTTTCAAAAACCTTGCGACTGTCGAGTCGCTTTCCATTGGCAGGTCTCCGTTACCTAGCAACCTGCAACTTGTTACCTAGCAACCCAAGCAGAGCTCCAGCACATTTTCTCAGCTGGTTTTACCGCTGCACAATGGCATGGAAAAGACAAGTGTTTAGTTATTGACATACCATCCAGAAACTACTGGCTGCAGTCTTGTTGGTTGTGCAGGAGGCTCAGCTTTTGCTTTTCAAAGATGTACGGTTGTATAATGGCACATCTGTTTGCAGCCATTTTCACGTGCGAGTGTAAAGATTGAGTTGGGGGGCGTGCCCAGCAGCAGATTATCTGGATTTAAAGTGACAGAAGGCCCTAAAACAGATCAAAATAGACAGAACTGAGCAGAGTAAAATCTCATCTAAGAATCATTTTGTGCAAAAAATTAATGAACATCTAACTTGACATTTGGGAGATTTTTGACGCAGGTCCTTTTCTAAACACCAAAAAACAGCTTATTATTATTGTTTTTATTTCATTTTAAGGTCTTGGTCTTATTTTTTCAGTCAAATTAAATCTGTTTTATTTGTATATTGCCAAATTACATTAACATGGAAAAAATGTTAAATATTTATAAGTATTCATCAAACACAGAGAAAATTATAATATTTAAGGTTTATTAATGGGTAGTTTTATTAATGGATAGTTTTATTAATACTGTCTGTGGTCAACTTTAAATCTGCCGTCTGTTTCTCAGCCTTTCGTTTTTTTTTTTGTTTTTTTTTTGCCTACTGCTTTTATAGTAACACGCTGATCAGAACGTCATTAAATAATGAAACTTTCTCCAGGTTGCCCAGTTAAACAGAGGTGAGCCGGTCTCCACCGATCCTGCAGAACCCTCGCAGGCCTTGGCCTCGGGCCCGTCGACCAGCAGAGCAGAACCTGCAGACTGCAGACCCACTCCAGACGATCAGCCAGGAGAAAAACCCACAGACACTCAGAATGAAACTCCCAGCAGCAGCAGCAGCTCTCCTATCGACCTGTCCACTAAAAAGAGCCCAGAACCAGAGTCCAGAGCCGACACCACAGCTGCTCCGGGTACAGACTTTATAATCTGAGTTTCACCAACATTTTTCTGGTCAGAATCAGAATAATTGAATTAAAAATCACGTTTATTTCCCTCTCAGATTCTTCCTCCTTTGGCTTCAACTCACTCGGTGGGTTTTCGTTTGCTGACCTCGCCAAAAACACAGACGGATTCGCATTTGGATCTCAAGGTTTGTTCTAGCAGAACCTTTGCCAAGCTTCTCTTTTCCACTGTTCTGAAATAATTTAATTATGCCTGACGCTCTGTCCTCAATCAGATGCCAATTTCTCCTGGGCGAATGCCGGAGCAACTGTGTTTGGAGCTGCAGCTCCTACTGAGGCCAAACGCACGGCCGCCGATGAGGGAAGTGATGAAGAGGAGGCCTCCAACAACGTGGATATCTACTTTGAGCCCATCGTTTCTCTACCGGAGGTACCTTCAAATACGCTCCTCATTTTTATGGTTAAAATATTTAAGATCTCAGAGCTCCAGGATATGAATTGAGATTAAAATATCCTCCTTTTTTCATTCCAGATCAGAAATTCTCGTAAAATTACTACTTTATTCTCCATTGTCGTACAACTGTTCTCTTGTACTATAATTACCTTATTCTCATAATTAAAAATAAGAAATATTAGTTTGCTCTGAATGTTCTGTCCCTGAGATGATCTGAACTCAGAGTGTAAGTAAATAGAAACTTGTAAAACACGCTTGTCAAACTAAGGAAACTCAAAAATTCCTTTGGTTGGGGAACAAAAATCCAGATTTTCTCAAAACTAAATATACAAAAAACAAAATTTCAATTCATCAAAAAGCTCGATTTAACGCCAGCCCTTCCTCTCCTCTAAACGTTTTTTACTCTCTTAAGGTGGAGACGAAATCTGGCGAGGAAGATGAAGAAATCTTGTTTAAAGAGCGAGCCAAGCTGTACCGATGGGACCGCGACCTCGGCCAGTGGAAGGAGCGCGGCATCGGAGACCTCAAGATCCTCTTCCACCCGACCAAACACTTCTACCGGATCCTGATGCGAAGAGACCAGGTGCTGAGAGTTTGTGCCAACCACACCATCTCAGAGACCTTGGAGCTGAAACCCATGAACACCTCCGCCAACGCACTCGTCTGGACCGCCACCGACTACTCGGGTACAAATATTTAAATGGGGAAACTATGATTCAAAGTTCACATTTTGCAAGTTTTTGTGCTTCAATTTGGGTTTCTAATGTTTCTAGAAACAGTCCAAGGTTTTAAAAACCAAAAACCCAGCCAGTTTTTGGCATTAAGTTGATGTTGTTTGGAAAACCTCCTGAATGTAAGGTCACAAATAAAAGGGCACTTCCCCTCAAGTAGCAACCTCAGCAGAGTTCTGCCCGTTACCTAGCAACCTCAGCAGAGTTCTGCCCGTTACCTAGCAACCTCAGCAGAGCTCCAGCAGGATTGGTCAGCTGGTTTTGCTGCTGTATGTGTACTGGAAAAGACGTTCTTTGTTTTCCATTCAGAAACCACTCTGCATTCTTGTTGGTTGTGCAGAAGGCTCTACTTTTGCTTTTCAAAGATGTACAGTTGAATAATTAAAAACTTAAGCGTACCGTACGCTAAAGGAATGTGATTGTTTTTCATTTTAAACAGTAAAATGTTTTTCTTTAGAAAAACATTTTTTACATAAAATAAGCTTAAGTGGTTAAATGAGAAATTTGCTAAATGTGCCTCTTGTTTTTTTGATTACTAAAATAATCGTCAGCTGCAGCCCGATTACAAAATGTGAAAAGGTTCAATGAATATGAATACCAATATACATTGTGTATCTAATAAAGGGAAAGTGTTGGTTTTGTTGCCGTCTTCCTAAAAGTTTTGCTTCCTCCTTCAGACGGTGAAGGTGTGGTGGAGCAGCTGGCAGCCAAGTTCAAAACCTCAGAGTTAGCAGAGTCGTTCAGGAAGACCTTCTGCGAATGTCAGAGCCGCATCGGCCAAACCGGTGATGTCTCGGCGCTGTCCAGAGTGCAGGAACACTCCAGAGACACGAACCCGCTGGTATTCCTCAGGGTGGCAGCCGACGGCGAGCCGCTGGGCTCCATCACCATCGAGCTTTTCTCTCACATCGTCCCCAAAACGGCGGAGAACTTCAGAGCGCTGTGCACCGGAGAGAAAGGCTTCGGCCTGCAGAACTCCGTCTTCCATCGGGTCATACCGGACTTCATGTGTCAGGTGAAAGAATTACAGCTTGAAGAAGTTGTTTAATTCGCTGATAGTATGACCTAAGGCTGAGAGGACTAACTGAATTTATCGTGATTAGTCAGTTATTGAAATAATCAACTAATTTAGTAATTGATTAATCATTAACTGGAGTATACAGACTCAACAAAAAGGCTGTTTTCTGAAAGGACAACACATTTAGAGCAGTAATAAAGCCAAAACTGTACAAAAAACCTATACATTTTGCATTTAAGATAATAAAGGTTCCATGTAGAACTCCTTAAGTGAGAGAGTTTAGCTTCACGTCGGTCAAATTACCTAAAAAATATTTATATATGCATTAGGGCTGGGTGATATGGCTTAAAATAAAGTGTTCAATTTTCAATTTCAAACTTTAAATTATTTATTTTAATTTTTCAATCACTTTATTTTCCAAATGAAAAAGATGCAGATGTGCTATATTTTTTTTGTTCATATTCACATGCTTGACCAATCTTCTGCTTCCTGCCGTATCAGGGAGGCGACATCACCAAAGGTGACGGCACCGGCGGCAAATCCATCTATGGCGCCGCGTTCGAGGATGAAAACTTCGACGTCCGGCACACGGGGCCGGGCATCCTGTCGATGGCGAACCGTGGGCGTGACACCAACAACTCGCAGTTCTTCATAACGCTGAAGAAAGCGGAACATTTGGACTTCAAACACGTGGTGTTCGGCTACGTCCGGGACGGGATGAGCGTGGTGCAGAAGATGGGAGAGCTGGGCACAAAGGGCGGGGCTCCCGCCAAGAAGCTGGTCATCACGGAGTGCGGACAGCTGTAGCTGCTCGGGAGGGAAGGTCCAGACCGTCGGCCTGGTCTGAGTTGGAATGAAGTCGACTAGAAGCTGGGAAAACTGCAAGGTCCAATGCACTTCCTGGACGATCTGGGAACCTCAGTGGAGTCACTTTGGTGGGAGGCTTTCGAAGCAACATCACTGCATCACTGCATTTTAGTCATTTTTCAGATGTTTATTTTTCATGCGTGTATAATTGTAAATGGAACACTTCGTATTGTTTTTGTTTATTTCTATGTGTTGTCCTACTTTTTTATTTTTTTGAGGGATTATTAAAACATACTTCAGCTTTGTTTGGTTTGTTTCCTCCACCACAGACGAACATTTCCCTGTTTGTTTTTCTTTCAGTCAAATGTATTCACAGTGCAGATAATTGGACTTTCACCAGTTGAAATAATCTCAATCTTAAACTGATTGGTTTGGGGATTCAGCGTCTGTACAGATTGAGAGATTACCAAGAAAAATTGCTTGTTGTACTGGAATAATTTGCTGATAATTGAGAAATAAATTTGCTTTACACGTAATGCGTGGTTCTCATGTTTATATATAATTATAATTTTGGGATAATTGCTGATTTTCATCAGCGAAAACATTTTGATGACTGTTTTCCATTACAGTGTTTTCTATCACAAAATCAAAAATTCATAAACTAATCTTGACAAAATCTGAAGGACTTGATGGGGTATGTAAACTTTTAAATGTTTAAGCTGAAGTTAGCCACAACTTTTCCTCTCTATTACAATTATAGTTTGCATGTCAGATTAGCTTTAATCTGACATGCAAAAGAAAAATTGTCTTGGGAATTTGAAATTCAACTTTTCTAACTTTGTAAATTACTCACATTATTGGCTAATTGACTCACAATAGTGCTTTACCTACACATTTAGTTGAGTTTGGAAAGTTGTAATTAAATATAAATATAGAAAATGGTGTAAAAAAAAAAACATTGGTTGGCTAAGCTTTTCCAGAATGGTTCCCTTAGAGATGTTTTAGGGATTTGAAGAAAATATTAGAATTTTAACTTTTCAGTGGCCCTAATTGTCTCCTGTAAGTTAACCTTTTCGTTTTGGAAATGTGAAAATTCACACTCTTTTGACTCATTAGTTCAAATTAAAGCTTTAACAACACCTTTAGTTGTGATGTTGGAAAGCTGTAGTTGAATAAATATTTAAAATGGTGTCAAAAACTGTTTGTTTTGGGGACGTTTTACCAGAGTCGTTCCCTTGGAGGTTGTTTATGGGACTAGCTTGAGAAAATGTCAGAATTCTGAGATTAAAGTATTTTTCCCCACTGGCCTTAACTGTCTTCTGTAAGTTAACCATTTTGTTTTGGAACATGGAAATTTAAGATTTCGAAATTTGTAAATTACCCATCATTTTTAGATAATGGGATCATATTAGGGCTTTAACTACACTTTTAGTTGTGTTTTTTGAAAGCTGTACTTGTAAAAAATATATAAAATAGTGTCAAAAATCAGTTGTGTTTTCCCTTGGATGTTGTTAGTTTGAGAGAAAAAAAGTCAGAATACTTTTTTTTAGTGGTTCTACTACTTTTTATGAAGTTAACCGTTCTGTGTTGGAACTTTAAATTTTTAAATGTCAGATTTGGACATTTAAAATCATATCGATGCGGGTTTTTTGATAAATTACTCGGGGAACACCGTTGTAGTACCGCTGTTAGCCACCACTCCAAGGGGGGCAGCAGAGCGCGGAGCATCGGTTGAGTCACGGTGACATCAGCAGGATGTAAATGCAGCGGCTCGCGGCCTGATCGGTCTTTTTCCTCTGCCGTGCTGTAGGAGCGGTTGGCCTGCTCTCTGTCTCTGAAGATTTTAACACCCAAGCCGCAAAATGATCATCTACAAGTGCATCATCAGCAGTAAGTAGTCGCCGTCGAAGATGTATTTTACGTTGTTAGTCGCTGTTGCGGCCGTTAGAGTTTAATTTAGTTTCCAGTGTGTGGTTTGAGTTAGCTCAAATAGCCGGCTAACTCGTGTGTATCGTGATTGAGAAGTTAGCGGTAACGGAGAAAAAAAAATTACCGGTAAATCAGAGGGTTACCCACCCATTTTGGCTCGTAAGTTTATATTATTGCTTTAACTACACCTCTATATGTGATGTTATAAAGTTATAAGTGTATAAAACGTTATCGGAAGCAGTTAGGTGGCTAAGTTTTAGCAGAACGGCTGCTTTGGTTGTTGTAATTGGGGTTAGTTTCAGTGAATGATGTGGCCTTTCTGCCGCAAGTAGCTGCTGCTGCTGTTAGCCATCGGAGCATTTTATGACTCTTACATTGGGGTTGTACTACAAAGCATGACTTAGATCGCGTAATTGATTTATTTCACAAGCAGGGAACGTCGTTCCCTTTTAGCGGATGGCGCACCCAGCTGTTCGTCTGTTGGCTTTGTTTTAAGTTTCGTCTCTCTTTATTCCCCCTTTCTCCCAACAGATGATGAGATGTTTTCAGATACCTTCAAAGTAAAAGAAACCGAAAGCGGAATCTTCTATGAAGTTGAAGGGAAGGTGAGTTCAGAATTTAATCTAGTTGATTAATTATAACTGATTTTAAACTCCTTTTTCTCTTAGCAGCAAATAACTGCTGCGGTTATGAAAAAACTCACTTTATTGATGGTTCTTCATGTTTGACCCACTTTTATTGGGATTTTACTTTTCGCAGCAGTGTTTCAGGGGCGGGGTGAGACTTTCTGCTCCTCTGCAGTCTGAAACCAGTTCTACAGCTGGTAGAATGCGCATTTAAAGAGTTTACTAGCAACAGGGCTGGTATGCAGTTTCAGGTGTATGACTATCTTGAATAAAACTTTACAATAAGGATTTTTGCATACGGTTTTGAAGTTGTCCAGTTATACTTGAAGAAATTCTGCAAAATCGGATTGTCCGTCTATTCTTTAAATTGTTAAAAAATACAAACTCCCCTCACCTGTTAACTGTTGGGACATTTTTATTAATTCACTCTTTTTGCCCTTTACCAGACTCGCCAAGAGGTTCGAAGACACCAAACGTAATGCAGACGCTAAAAAAAGAAGAGTTTAGATCAAAACATCATTTATTTACATCCACATTGGTATCGGTGGATGTTAGTCTTTTATATCTACGTTGATCTGATGAGCAAAACGACAGATGTCTTGGTTTTTATCTTGTTTAGGTGTAGGAAGTGTGATCACTTTAAAAGGGTAATAAAAGTGTGAGGAAATGTAAGTTATTTTAATTGGATAAAGATTTGAAATAGTTCCTTTTTGTCCGGAAACTAACGCAGCGCGAGACAAAGTCGCGTTCAACAGTCTGTTGTTTTCCACTCAAAAATGATTAAAAAACAAGTTGAGTTTACTTTTTAACACCTAATTCACTTGAAACCTCAGTGTAGGATCTAAGAACCATTTAACCGTCTCCAGTATAAAAACCCTTAAAGCAGAAAAACTGCTGGAAAATCGCTCACGACGATGTGGTATCATTTTGTAGTCAACGGCTCATTTTAGTGTATAATGTCTTTCTGATGATCTGACTTTAGTTTAGCCAGCTGGTTTTAAACTGAGGTCTGAAGAAACTAAATGTTGCTAATTAAAAGCCAGAATCTAAAATACAATTTGCATATGAAGTGAAGAAACTCGTAACAGTTTATAGCAGTTCATTATTATGCAGATTTTCTGTTTTTAATAATTTTCTTTGTTGGATTCGAATTGATGTGAAATTGTGAAAATAAGGGCAGTTTGATTATTTTTATGGATTTGAGACGTTAAACACCAGAAATGAAATAAAATAAAATCTCAGATATTTTTCTTTCACACCAGATCCAATTTTAATTTTATTCTTCCTTTTTAATTGATTCAAAAAGAGAAATTACAGATGAATATTTGTATATTTCAGTCATCCTATCTGAGCTGTATGAGGGTGTCTGGATATGAGAATTGTTGTTGATTTCAGGATAAAGATGTAAATTTATCAGAAAAATGTCTCTATTACAAGAAAAATGAGACGTTTATTTAGTCATTAAGGTCTGATGTAAGCAGCTCTGTTCTTGGTTTGCTCTTCTAAAACGCTTTAGTAGTTTGTAGAATCATTTGAAAGTCGTGCAGCTGCTGCTAATTTGATGCTAATGTGTAAAAGATGAAATATTTCCCTATATGTAGGAATGTGATGCTCAGCATTCCTATTTTTAATTTTTTATTCGTTTTTAAGTCAGAGTTCTCATAAATTTACTTAATTCTTAGAATTTTATGACTTAATTCTGATAATAATCGCTTTATTCTCGCATTATAATAATCATAATTAAGGATAAAAATTAGTTTTTTAAATGTAGCCTGGCTCTAATATTCTGTGGTAGAGTTGATCTGGGGATGGTGACGACCCAAACCCAAATTTCAGCCACCAAGAAGCGACGTAATCTGTGAAAATGATGCAGCCGCTGCTTGTCTTCCTCCTCTTCCTCCCAGACGGTGACCAGGACAGAAGGGTTTGACGACGCTTTGATTTCAGCCAACGCCTCTGCTGAGGAGGTGTGCGAAGGCAACGAGTCGGCCACCGTCTCCGGCGTCGACATCGTCCTCAACCACAAGCTGCAGGAGACCGGCTTCGACAAGAAGCAGTACATGGCCTACATCAAGGAATACGTCAAGGCGTGAGTTGTTTGTGAATCACCTGAACTGAGATTAAAATGTTGGTTTAGAGCAGGAGTGTTGAACTCATTTCCATTCTGGGCTTCATCAGCGTTCTTAAAGGGCCGGTTGTGGAAGAATGTGTTGATAAAACCCGTTAAGAAACTGTTAAAATATTAATGAACATCTGTGTATTCGGTAAGTTCTTCCTCAAATTAAATGTTGTAGAACGTCCAGGTTTTCATGATTATTCTGAGATCAAAATAACTGACTCTGTAGAGCTAATTTAGAACTATTTACGAGGAATCCTGCAATATTTCCACTTTTCTATGAATGTGAGATTTTTGGTACTTGCCACATTAACTACAGACCAACTGGAAATCTAGTAAAGCTGAGGCAGTGGTGGAGTAAAAGTAAGAAATACTGCCACCTGCAGGTCAGAGGCTGTCATACCTTCTGCTTTTAGATGGCCACTGCAGTGGAAAATTTTATTATATTAAATTCTGACTTTACCAACATAACTTTTCAACAAAATCCCCCTTATGATAATAAAATATGTAATATTTTATATGAATCGCATCACTAAATGCTTTTTTGCCTCCACAGTGGGGCTACTGGACGCTTCATTTGTTTTTTGTTTGTTGCTGCAGAACCGTTTCTATTTATTGCTAGTTATGCTAGCTTGAGGAGCAAAGCAGCTTGATGAGTTTGACTGGCAGCCAATCAGAAAATGAGCATCAGAAATAACATTTAAATAAATTATTTTAACTTGCATTTTATGAATTAAGACAGAAAAATAAAAAATTATGATGAAAAATGTAAAATGAAGATTTCTTCTTATTTTGCATGTTTTTCCTCATCTTCTGTCTGCCTTTGAGGCCTAAAAACTCTGTAGATTGCTGATGTTGCCGTTTG